CACCATCCTTGAAGGCAGCTCATTCCAAAAGCCAACCATCCTGTTTGAAAAGTAATACTGTATAAACTGCAGATGACTCCTACACTGCTAAAACGTGAACTTGTGCCCCTATGTCCTATTGTTGCCATTGATAAACAAAAAACCATTTGATGGATCTATATTATCAATACCCTTAGTAATCTTAAACACCTCAATCAAATCCCCCCTCACCCTTCTCCTCTCCAGTGTAAACAAGCTTAGAGATTTTAGTCTTTCCTCAAAGGACAATCCCACCATCCCAGATACCATCTTAGAGGTTCTTCTCTGAACCTTCTCCAACAATTCAATGTCTTTCTTGTCCACAGTACTCTAAATGAGGTCTTACAAGTGATCTATACAATAAAAAAATAATATCCCTTGTCTTGTATTCAATATTTCTATAGATGCTACCCAAGATCCTATTAACTCTATTGCTAACTACAATACACTGTTCAAAAAAAAAGCATCACTTACAAACAGTTTTTTAGTATTAAGAATTAACAAAAATAAAAGTCTTTGAAGCTTGGTCAAAAATTAAGAGAAAACAAATATAGTTACAATCTTCACCAGAATTACAATTGGTTTCAATGTTGTTTTACTCAAAACCTTGATCACTTCTTCTTTCTCACAGCTTTGAATTTTTTGTGTTTAAGCATCACACTAAGAAATACAATTTTCAAACAGTAAATGTTTCTTCAAGTTTATTCTCTATCTGGATATTTGAACGTAATTTATAAAAAAAACAATAACTTTTGGTTCACATAATCCAAACTATTTTGATAAAAGAGTTAACACAAAGGATCACATATAAAGTGTAATAGACTTAAAATAAGACCCAAAACTCGAGCGCTTTCGAATAGTTGACTGTTCTTCTTCTTCTTTGTTTTTCTTAAGAAGAACAGTCAACTATTCAAAAGCGCTCGAGTTCTGGGTCTTTTTTAAGTCTATAATTCAAACCATAACGTTCTTTGTAAAAGCTACATATAAGTAACAGACTGATTCACTATACAAGAAGCTTGAAAAAGTACATTTTTCATGTGCAACAATGACATTCAATTTTCTAGTTATTTTCAATAATAAAAAACAATTATTCAATCATCCATCTGTATTTTCCCAAGTTGAATTGAAACTAAAGAATTTTATTTCATTTTCTATGATAGTGGTTCCCAAACTTTTTTCACTGATGATGCACTAACCCACTTAACTTGATTTGTGTGACATCTCTGCTGTCGTGTAAAGTTTTTTCATTGTTGTTCTTTTTTTCTTTTAATTATTCTTTGTTTGGTGATACTCTTGTGACACCCCCTAGCAATATCTCCTAGTATGAGAGTTATGACATTTGTTCTCTAAGGCTTCTCTTCTCTAATTTATTTACCACTCCTCCAACAAGTACAGAATTTTACATAAATTACTCAAACCTTATAACATAGATATTACTGAGGCATATGGATACCACACATTATATATATAATGATAAAAAACTGTTTCTTAAGACTCAGTACATACAGCTAATGAAATCTGAGTGAAAAATCTTTCTTGCAGTTCATGCAAAAAAAATTCAGAGTAACATTAACATAAACATCTAAACAATCATCTTACTCGTATCATTACTTCAAGCATGCAACATGACGTATTTAAACTTAAGCCCATTAGTTTAATTAAAGAATATACAGACACCACTTACTGATATTGTCTATAAATTTGGAGATGATGATAACTTCATTATATTTACATATTCATGTACTTCAAGGTTTGAAAAATAAAACTAACATAACTAGCAAAACCTTTTATAAGCATTCACTAAACCCAAATATTTACCCTTATGTAATTAGCATTGATGTATCCAGATAACAGATCATCCTCTTCAGTTAGTTGGACACGACTCTTTTCATCTGTAAGTAAATGTTTCTTTATTATATCTTAATATCTGTGTGAGATATCGAAGCTAAACACATAACCAGCAAGAATTAACAAGACTCAAACATTAACCAAAATCTCTTTAAATATGTTAAAAATAGTGAACTATTTTCTTAGAATTTGTGAAAGTACCTGAACAAAGAAAAATTAAAATTTAAATATGGTATAATTTTGTTTTTATTCTAATGTCAAAAAGAAAAATCACTGACATAGAATGACACGTCTAAGTTCCATATTAATGATTTTATTATCCTGCATGATAGTTTCTTAAGACACATAACAAAAATTGCTGCATCTATAAGCTTTTGAATCAAAACATTCTGCTAGTAGAACTACACCTACATAACTAATCAATCAGTCACAATGTCAGTAAAACATGTAGGTTCAATACATCTTGATACAAAATGATAAAAAACCCATAACACGAGCACTTTCGAAAGGTGGACTTTTCTTCTTCTGGATCAAACTGGGAATCAATCAATACTCTAACTGATCAGTGATTGATATGCTCGGAATACGTATTCACCTTCAAAGTGCCTGTTAATTTTATGCTGCATTAAAGTCAAAATTAAACTAACTGCAATCCAAAATTATTTACTTAAACCAAAACTGCATTATACAAAAAAAAACAACTTCTAATAGAAAACAACAACACCAGCATCCATGCTTGGTTTCAATAAGCCCATACAGTACATTCCAACAAGCATCTACTCAATTTTATAACCTATAACCTGAGAAATTAAAAGTGAGAAATTAATAATTCTTACTTATTACACGTAATTTTCAAGCAAGAACTTTAAGAAACCTAAAAATTAGTAATGTTTTTAAGACGAAAAATGGCAGATGATTTTAATTTATGATGAATAAAAAAAGTAACACTTTCAAAAATATATGTTGAAGTTTCTTACTCGATATTCCACTGCTCATATGTTCGGATGGTAATATATTTTCTAAGATTTTATATGACTTAGAAATGTAATAAAGATTGTAACATTAAACCTAAGTGAATACATTTTTATTCAATTCCTACTAAGATCCCATATTTAAAGATGAAAAAGAGACAATGTTAATTCACATTTGGCAAAACAAATTCTTTGTTAGTGCTCAATTCTTCCTACACCTTCACATTTTATATGATTCAAACTAGCCTACTTACTGGGCATGATTGTGTTGTAGCAATTTTTTGTTTCTACTCCAGGTATTTGTTAGTGCTCAATTCTTCCTAAACCTTCACATTTTATATGATTCAAACAAGCCTACTTACTGGGTATGATTGTTTCATAGCAGTTTTTTGTTCCTGCTCCAGGTCTTTGTTAGTGCTCAATTCTTCCTAAACCTTCACATTTTACATGATTCAAACTAGCCTACTTACTGGGCATGATTGTTTCATAGCAGTTTTTTGTTCCTACTCCAGGTATTTGTTAGTGCTCAATTCTTCCTAAACCTTCACATTTTATATGATTCAAACTAGCCTACTTACTGGGCATGATTGTTTTGTAGCAGTTTTTTGTTCCTACTCCAGGTCTTTGTTAGTGCTTAATTCTTCCTAAACCTTCACATTTTATATGATTCAAACTAGCCTACTTACTGGGCATGATTGTTTTGTAGCGATTTTTTGTTCCTGCTCCAGGTATTTCCACTTTTTCTGGGTAATTCATAGGTATATCCTGTACAAGTATTGTAAACAAAAAAATAGTTTTTGTTTACAGCAATAAAGTGGTAAGTTTTTCTACAACTAATGCTAATTCACATTTGTAGAGATTCAAGGATTAGTTTAAAACTAACAAAATAAAAAACTTTTTAAACAATTCTCCAAAACAAAAAGAACCTGCTTTGTACTTACATTCTGAATACAAGTTTCAAATATAGTTAACACAGTCCAGTAGCAGCTAGAAATTTTTGTGATAAGTTTGTCATATCACTAAATTTAAACATCTAACCTAAACTTTAACTGCTACCTTAACTAAATAATAAAAGGTTATAATAAACTTAGAAAACAAAATGGTTCAGATACAACAGTGGCAATTCTTGGAGAAACTATCTACCACTTACGTGATCTCATGGCATCATTTGTTTTAGTAAAAGATTAATAAATATTACAAGAATAAGTCTGACAATCAAAATTTTAAAATTTACTTTTCCATAAGTGCCAAAAATTTTAACAATGTAAAAATATAATTAGAATGTATTAAAACCTTGAAACAAACAGTCTCTCAATTATGACATCTGTTCACAGTTTACTTAATTAAATTCCCTGTATATCAAAATAATCTTAATTTTTAATCAAAAATCTTTTTGCTTTTAATGAAACTATATAAAGTAATTCTTCATTAAAGATAACTGTCTCGGGTTGTTTTAATACAGAATTTTGTGAAAATAAATTCACATCATCCCTACAAAAACAAAAGACAGAGACAGTACAACATTTACTAGTAGGCAAGAAAACTTGTGATGATACTAGAAAACCTCTTTGTAGAGATTAAAATTATAACATAAGGTGGAAACTGAGGCTTTATAAGAAATATTAAAATCATGGTAATAGGGAAAAAAATCTGAAAAACTTAAAGTAGGAGAAAGATTACAAGCTTTTAACTTTTTGTACCACAAGGCCAAAATGTGCATGTCACAACATTTTACACAATTATATTTAATATTAAAAACTTTTATTATCATCTAAGGTTTTAATTTCAAACAAAAATATACAAAAGATTTTCTATTTTCACTCTTCTGTGTGACACTTCTACACTTTGATTTCTCTCTTTGAGAATTGTTTAACACCAAAAATAGGGTGACAAGGCTTACAACCAGTTACAAACACAAACTACACATAATGACATAAAAGAAAATAAAATCTGAACCTCCTATCTTCTTGATTTGCTGAGATAACAATAAATGTTTCAAACCCACTAGAGATTTGTTTGTTATGAATTTCGCGCAAAGCTACACGAGGGCTATCTGCACTAGCCATCCCTAATTTAGTCAGTGTAAGACTAGAGAGAAGGCAGCTAGTCATCACACCCACCACCAACTCTTCGGCTAAACTTTTACCAACAAGTAGTGGGATTGACCATCACATTATGATGCCCCAATGGCTGAAAGAGCAAGCATGTTTGATGTGATGGGGATTTGAACCTGCAACCCACAGATTGCGAGTCGAGCACCCTAGCCACTGACTCAGTGAAG